ACTAACTTACTTTTTTTAAAAAAACTTATATTCTACCCTTCGTCTTATGACCTCAGGACAGTTTACAAGGTCAAAACAGTCAAGGTAATCAGTAAAAATAAATTATGGAATCACAGACTCATAGAATTGTAAAAATCTCAGCTAAAGCATCCATGAAAGATGGCCTTCAACTTCTGCTTAAAAACCTCTAAGGAAGGAGAGACCGTCAAATGGCTCTTCCCAATGTTTAGTCAGAATCTCCTTTCTTGTAACTTGAAGCCATGGGTTCGAGTCCTACCCTCCAGAGCGGGAGAAAGCAAGCTTGCTCCATCCTCTGTATGCCAGCCCTTTGGATATTTGAAGATATCTCCTCTCAGCCTTCTCTCTTCTGGGCTAAACATACTGAACTCCATAATACAATTGAATAAAACACCAGCTCTCTGTAAAATACCAGTAATCAGTCCAATGTCTTAATTATAAACCGCCTGTGGAAAAAAGAGAGGATTTCAGGCAGCACCCAACGGTTAGCAGAATTTGTACCAGCTGAATCTCTGGGGAGCAGATTTCATAACTGGGTCACTATTGCTAGAAGGTCACAGATCCTGCTGAGGAGGTTCTCCCCAGCAGATCTCGAATCATGGGAATTTATCCTGGGGGAAGAGCTCTCTTATTTAAATGGGCCCTGAGGCACCCAGGGCTTCATATCAGCAGAATAGTTTGTGAACAACTAGGAAGATGGAGAGCTGAGAAGCCAGAACTCTCGGTTTTGCCCTGCTGAAGTCAATGGGAATTATGCACTCAGGTAAGCAGGGTTAGGATTGTGACGTAAGATCTCTCCATCCTTGCTGGCACCTGTTTTGCAGCTTTCTGTTTGTTGCCCAGGAAGCGTCAGGTGGGAGAGAAAGTGGCGGCCGCGGGCAAAATGGGAGCCTCCTTCTTCCAAAACACACATTGACATTCTCCTTTGCATACGCCTGCCCAGAAGCTATTTTCTCCAGCAATGATAACAGCTGGCTAGTGACGTTGCTCTGATATGCATTATGTAAGACAGCTGCAGAGAGAGAGAGAGAGAGCGCAAGAGGGGACAGGATGAAATGCTGGTCAATCAGATAACTCCAAAAGCCCACAAACAGGGTGACAAGACAGCATTTGTCCCCCAGCAACTGGTACGCAAGAGGTACACTGTGTCGGAAGAGGGAGGCTCCATTATTCTATGTGCCCCAGTTTAAGAAGGAGATTGACAAGCAGGAATGTGAGCAGAGGAGGGCGACCAAGATGATCAAGGGTCTGGAAACCAAGCCTGATGAGGAATGGTTGAAGGAGCTGGGAATGTTCAGCCTGGAAAAGAGGACACTGAGAAGAGATATGAGAGCCATCTTCAGATATCTCAAGGGTTGTCAAATGCAGGGCTATTTTTCTACACCAGGGGTCAGCAAACTTTTTCAGCAGGGGTCCGGTCCACTGTCCCTCAGACCTTGTGGGGGGCCGGACTATATTTTGGGGAAAAAATGAACAAATTCCTATGCCCCACAAATCACCCAGAGATGCATTTTAAATAAAAGGACACATTCTACTCATGTTAAAACATGCTGATTCCTGGACCGTCCGTGGGCCGGATTTAGAAGGCCATTGGGCTAGATCCGGCCCCTGGGCCTTAGTTTCCCTATCTGTGTTCTACACAAAGAGGTGCCAGAACTCACCATGAACCCCTCCCTCGTTTTCTTAACACGGCAGTGGCGCCCACCTGAGAGGCACTGGATCTGAGTTCTGGCAGGAGAGGATTCCTTCAGAAGGTAGTGGTCTCTCCTTCATTGCAGGTTTTAAAACATAGGTCGGATCACCACTTTTTAGCTGTAGTTGTCTCATCGCAGGGGGTTGGACTAGATGACCCTGGGTGTCCCTTCCAACTCTACAATTCTATGGTTCTCAAATGTGGTGCCCTAATGAGAGTTGTTTTGGATGAGAGCTCCCACCAGCCCCAGCTCTGGCTTCTGCTTGTTTGTACATTGTCAGGTATATGGCACTTTTAAAACAGAAAATGTCTGCCAAATTCAAATATCTTGGCATTTGGAACCGGACTTAGTTACTTTCTCCTTCATCAGGCCAGATGGTTCGGGCAATCAACAATGTGCAGACAGTTTGAAGTTGGAGCTGCCAAACAATGAATGAATAATGAAGCAGAGAAGGAACAAAACTGCGGGAATAACTAACACCTAAGTTTTCAGCCCGAGAAAATGCTTCTTCGCTTGCGAGTGCTTCAGACTGAGCATCACAAGCACAGCAGACGGAAAGTGCTTTTTTAAAAAAGAAATCTAATAAAATAATGATTTGTCAGAGTTGTTGTAGCAGCAGCGCTGAGGAGAGTAATTCAGCAAGGTTTCACGATGAAGCAGACTTTCTCGCAGGTGCCAAGAGCAGAATATTCAACGCAGCCAAAATATCCATCAGGGATATTAAGCCTCGTGCGTTAAAATGTCATTCATGTTCCTGGGATGAAGTTGCTCCATCGAAGCTGGAAGGAGAACGGCTTTACATCACGGATGCCAAGGAAACCTGGCTCTCCCCCTGCCCCCCGCCTGCCCCCTGGCTAGTGTCCAACACTATCCACACAACAGCTAAGCTGAAATCCTTGGCCCTCAATTCTGCAGCCATTCTGTGGTCTGATTCTGCTGTTACATTTTTGTGCTTCCTGGATCTCTTTCTGAAGTCACTGCAGTCTTCAGTATGCTTGTGAAACATGGACCACTTATAAATGCCATCTTCAACTCCTTGAAAGATTCCATCAATGGTGTCTCCGAAAAATTTTACACATCACTTGGGAAGACAGGCAAACTAATGCCAGTGTACTAAACTAATGCTACTGAAAGAAGCAAAGATCCCCAGTGTCGAAGCAATGATTCTTCAACATCAACTTCATTGGACTGGTCATGTTGTGCAGATACCTGATGATCGTCTTCCAAAGCAACTACTCTATTCCAAACTTAAAAATGGAAAGTATAATGCTGGTGGTCAACAAAAGAGGTTTAAAGACCGTCTCAAGGCAAATCTAAAAAAATGTAGTATAAACACTGACAATTGGGAAACACTTGCCTGCAAGCGTTCCAGTTGGAGAACAGCCTTTCCCAAAGGTGTCATGGGCTTTGAAAACACTTGAACTCAGGACACAAGGGAGAAACGTGCTAAGAGGAAGGCGCGCTTGGCAAACCCACACTGTGATCAACTCCCACCCGGAAACCTATGTCCCCACTGTGGAAGGACGTGTAGGTCCAGATTTGGCCTCCACAGTCACTTGCGGACTCATTGTTAAAACCGTGTTTATGGAAGACAATCTTACTTGGCTACGAGGGATCGCCAGAGAAGAAGAAGCCCCTCTCTTTGTGCAATGGATACCTGCCCGCCTTAATGGCCTTGTTCCCACATGTAGTCATCCATGCAACAATTTTTGCTGCTCAACGGACTTTTTTCTTTCCCCCCCTTTTTAAGTCACGCTACATAATGCTAAATTTAGCACTCTCCCCCAAATCCAGCATTTTTATGGTACAGCTGAAGTAGAAACAGGAGTTTCTGCACAAACCTCAAGTTCCTGGCCCACACCAGTTTTCTGTAGAGGATGAGAACATTTGTTTACTGCAAAGGGGATGCTCAGTAAATTGTAGTTGAAATGTGAAACGGACTTTCTCTACCCGGAGACATCCTTCTTGTATTTAAAATATATTTATATATAATCATCTTCTCTCCTTCCAAGGCTGGTGTGCATCTTACAAGGACTGATCCGTGTGTTGATTTCCTCCCAGGCATTTAAGGAAAAAAGGAATCTGCTTACTTAAAACTGGAGGCAATCTTGATTTTGCTTTACCAGAAGCAAGGAAGCATTGAGGGAGATGAATTTCAGACCCTCCAAGTGTCCCTATTTTCCAGGGATGTCCCTGATTTAGAGAAGCCCTCCCGGTTTCTGATTTGATCCTGGAACGCCCCACTTTTCCTTAGGACGTCCTTATTTTCCTTGGAGAAATGTTGGAGGGTCTGGAATTGTCCGACCCCGAGCCGTCTGAAGGCTATCCTGCATAGGGGAGGGTGTTTTTTTTTAACATTTAATGTTTTATTGCGTTTTTATATATGTTGGAAGCTACCCAGAGTGGCTGGGGCAACCCATTAAGATGTGTAGGGTATAAATAGGAAAAAATATCATTATGAAATGGGACGCCCCTATTTTCAACGGAGAAATCTTGGAGGGCCTGTCATTTCAGATGAGGGTGGTTTGTTTACAGGACTTGAAAAAGCCTCGAGGAATTTTGCATCATGCTCGGTGCAAGAGTCTTCCATCTTCCCCCAAGTTCAGAGAGTCCATCTCCTCACAAGTCTCTTAAAATATCCCCCTAGGAGAAGCTAAACTGGAGGGCTGCTCCTGTGTCCTTTGAGCTCAAGGTGCTACAGAGCTTCGGCTGAGGATTCTGACTGCTGGGCCCAAAAGACTCCCTGCACAACTGGGATAGCCAACAGGCAAAGGGAATCGTTTACAGTGGTACCTCTGGTTGCAAACGGGATTCATTCCGGAGGCCCTTTTCCAACATGAAAGGAATGCAACCCGCAGTGGCGTGTCTGCGCATGTGTGGGTTGCGATTCACTGCTTCGGCTCATGCGAGTGTCATCATTTTGTGCGTCTGCGCATGCGCGAGTGTCGAAACCTGGAAATAACCCTTTCCGGTACTTCCGGGTCACCGTGTGACGTAACCTGAAAGAACGTAACATGAGGTATGACTGTATTGTTTTTATAATTTGTTGGAAGCTGCCTGAGTGGCTGGGGCAACCCAATCAGACGGGTGGGGTACATATAATAAAGTTGTTGTTGTTGTTGTTGTTGTTGTTTACATTTATATAACACCTTTTCTAGAAGGTTCCTGATCAACCAGTCATCAATTTGAGCCAAGCGAATTTGTGCATCATTCATAAAGATATCCACAAACACATGGCTTGCTTCTTTCTTTCTTTCTTTCTTTCTTTCTTTCTTTCTTTCTTTCCTTCCTTCCTTCCTTCCTTCCTTCCTTCCTTCCTTCCTTCCATTCCCTAAGGAGCTCAAGGTGGCGAGCATGGTTCCTCCTCCTCCACATTTAATTCCCGCAGAAACTAGGGCTAGGGTGAGAGGCCGTGACTGCCCCCCAAGGTCACACCTAGTGAGCTTCGTGTCCGAGTTGTGGGGATTCGAACCCTGCTCTTCTGCCAGGTCCTAGTCTGATGCTCTAACCACTACGCCCAGCCACCGTGTTATGAATGATGTGGAGGAAAGAAAGAGAGCGAAATGAAGTCTGTCTGCCTCTCTCACCCACACACTAGAGCCCAGGACAATCCAGGTTCTCTCTCAAAGCGTAATTAGCCAATTAGCCTATCAAATCCATCATCGTTCCTTGACAAGAGGCTTTTAAAGGGATTAGCTATGTTTGTGGAGGATACGTCCATCAATGCATATCAGCTGCTGCAGCTCCAAAGAGAGCCTCCGTATCGTGAGCCAGGGCAGCTCGGATTTCCAGGTGTGGTGGATGATGAACGTCCTGAGATATCAGGCTTTGCTGAGACACCTGAGCAGCCACTGTCATGAGGCGCTGGTGGAGGGGCTTCTGGGAAAAACCACGCACAGACATTCTGGAGTTTTCAAGATTCTGTCTCTGAACCATCGGTGTGTTGGAAACAACACATTTGCAATATGAGAAATGCTCTGCTCTTCTGCTCTTAAGATCCATGGTTCCCAAACTGCGGTCTGCAGACCACCAGTGGTCCATGACCTTCATTGGCGAGAAAGGAGCGACAGGGTGGAAATCTCTAAAACATGCAATGATTCAATGGGCAAGAGATTTTCGATATACCATACAATTGGCAGCATGGGAAAAACTTTGGAGAGAGGAGCTAAAAATTTACAGCGTGTTATACACTGCAAGAAAACTATGTGAAGATGATGTACAGCAGGTATTTAACACCCAGGGGTGCAGGTGGCGCTGTGGGTTAAACCACAGAGCCTAGGACTTGCCGATCGGAAGGTCAGGGGTTTGAATCCCTGCGACGGGGTGAGCTCCCATTGCTCGGTCCCTGCTCCAGCCAACCTAGCAGTTCGAAAGCATGTCAAAGTGCAAGTAGATAAATAGGTACCACTCTGGCGGGAAGGTAAACGGCGTTTCCGTGTGCTGCTTTGGTTCGCCAGAAGCGGCTTAGTCATGCTGGCCACACGACCCGGAAGCTGTACGCCGGCTCCCTCAGCCAATAAAGCGAGATGAGCGCCGCAACCCCAGAGTCGGCCACGACTGCACCTAATGGTCAGGGATCCCTTTACCTTAAGTTAGAGAAAATGTGTAGGACTAACTCAAATGTCTGTTGGAAACGTAAGGAAAAAGAGAACACTTTTTACCACATGTGGTGGAATTGTAATAAGATAAAGGAAAAACACATGTTTAAAATAACCTTTGTTAAGGGGTGTTAAGGGAGGTTAAGGGGTGATATGATAGCCATGTTCAAAGATATAAAAGGATGTCACATAGAGGAGGGAGAAAGGTTGTTTTCTGCTGCTCCAGAGAAGCGGACACGGAGCAATGGATCCAAACTACAAGAAAGAAGATTCCACCTAAACATTAGGAAGAACTTCCTGACAGTAAGAGCTGTTTGACAGTGGAATTTGCTGCCAAGGAGTGTGGTGGAGTCTCCTTCTTTGGAGGTCTTTAAGCAGAGGCTTGACAACCATATGTCAGGAGTGCTCTGATGGTGTTTCCTGCTTGGCAGGGGGTTGGACTCGATGGCCCTTGTGGTCTCTTCCAACTCTAGGATTCTATGATAAAAGCGTTTCTCTTAGGAATTTTAGGTGCAGATATACTGAAAGATTTGAGAAGACTGTTAATTTACGGGACTATGGCTGCAAGGACGCTGCTCACCCAGGGATGGGAAGAGGATAGGATGCCAACAAAGTCAGACTGGCAGATGAAATTACTGGACTATGTGGAGATGGCCAGATTGACTGGGAAAATCAGAAACCAGGAGGATCAAAACTTCAACGGAGAATGGGATAAATACAGATTGTATCTAAAACTGTAAACACAGATGGCATCTAACACTGTAAACACCTGAACTCTTTGGCAGGCTTTCAATAACTCTTGCAACGTTACAAAGATTTTGAACATATTGGAGGACTATAATTTGGATGAACTATAAAATGCAGTTGATTATGATATTGAAAAGACCCATGGAGGGGAGGAGGGGAGTTTTAAGATTCGGAAGAATTTTAGTTCTGTTTTAAAATGTAAATGTGTTAACTGTGAATTATTTTGTAAAACTAATAAAATTTATTTCCAAAAAAAGGAGGAAATTTCTAAAATGTTGCATGACAGAGAGAAAATGGGCAGAGAAAATGTTTTCTCCCTCCCTCCTAACACTAGAACTTGCAGACATCCTGTGAAGATGAGTCTTGGAAGATTCAGGAGAGATGAAAGAAAGTCCTTCTTCACGCATTGCTGAGTTAAACTGTGGAACTCCCTGCCACAGGAAAAGTGACAGCCACCAACAGAGGATTGACCAAATTCATGGAGGAGGAGAGGGCTATCAGTGGCTACTAGGAAGGATGTTTTAGCTCTGGCCCCACACTTGGAGCCCTCTCCTCCATGAATTTGGCCAATCCTCCTTTAAACCCAGCCAGGTTGGTGTCAATTCATGCTATTGTGCATGAATCCTGTTTGCTGATTTCCCACTGGGGCATCTGTTTGGCCACTGGGAGAACAGGATGCTGGCTGAGATGGGCCATTGGCCTGATCCAGTAACCTCCTCTGAACTTATTGCATTCGTAAGGCAGCCTCACACAAGCACTGCAAACATTAGTCTTCATGTCTTGTGGATTCAGCGTCACAAAGGATGTTGCTCCTGTTTTTGTTTCCGTTACGTACTTTGTGGGTTTCATTCCGTATTTTTATGTTGCCAACTGCCCTGTCATCATCGGATGAAGGCTGGTATACAAACTTAATAATGATGATAGGAGTGGCATTGTATGCAATTTGACTATTCTCCAAACCTGCCCCACTGCACCATTGAGAAAGTCTTTGCAGAATTCAGCTGCACCAGTGTTGTCTAGAGTTGTTGCACCAGCACTGGGAAGCACTACAACTCTTGTGTGTGTGTGAAAAGGTAAAGGTAAAAGGTAAAGGACCCCTGGATGGTTAAGTCCAGTCAAAGGCAACTATGGGGTTGCGGCGCTCATCTCGCTTTCAGGCCGAGGGAGCTGGCGTTTGTCCACAGACAGCTTTTCGGGTCATGTGGCCAGCAGGACTAAAGCGCTTCTGGCACAACCGAACACCATGATGGAAACCAGAGCGCACGGAAACACCGTTTACCTTCATGCTACAGCAGTACCTATTTATCTACTTGCACTGGTGTGCTTTCGAACTGCTAGGTAGGCAGGAGCTGGGACAGAGCAACGGGAACTCACCCCGTTGCAGGCATTCAAACTGCTGACCTTCTGATTGGCAAGCCCAAGAGGCTCAGTGGTTTAGACCACAGCGCCACCCTCATCCCTAAGGGCTTTAAAGGTAAAAGGTAAAGGACCCCTGGACAGTTAAGTCCAGTTGCAGACAACTCTGGGGTTGCGGCGCTCATCTTGCTTTACAGGCTGAGGGAGCCAGTGTTTGTCCACAGATAGATTTTCTAGTTTTCTGGTGAAACCAGAGCAGCGCACGGAAACACCGTTTACCTTCCCGCCGGAGCTGTACCTATTTATCTACTTGCACTTTGATGTGCTTTCGAACTGCTAGGTTGGCAGGAGCAGGGACCGAGCAATGGGAGCTCACCCCATTGCAGGGATTTGAACCACCGACCTTCTGATCGGCAAGCCCTAGGCTCTGTGTTTTAGACCACAGCGCCACCCGCATCACTTGTGTATGTGTAGCAGCCAGGGAATGGCCTCATCCACTTTCTGCTCTGCCCGGCTGAGAATAGAGCCCTTCTCTAAAAACGCCTATAAATCAAATCTCCTCTATAGCGATGGCCACAGAAGACTGTGAGGCAACCGTGTGTACCTGGAGGTGCGCCACAATTTGGTTGCATAACCACAGATATCCTGGGGAGGTGGACTGGCGGGGGTGGGGGTGGGGAATAAGAAGCTTTTATAAATGGCTCAGAGCAATTTTTCTACTTTTAGAGGAGAATGGGACTCTTGCTATTTTCAGAGCATCCTTTTTCTTTTCTTAGGACAGGAACCTATTTGGGAGCAGAAAAAAAGAACGAAAGTAATTTTTCCATGATCGCTGGCTCCAATTTTTCATAACCAGCCAGATATAGCAGGGCAAAAATAATGGGCTTTCCTTCTGATATGCGAAAGAATCTTCTCCACGGACTGCACAATCTTGGAGGTAAGTTTGACACACAAAGTTAACTCTTCTCTGCTTTGCACATGCTTCTGATTTGTGGAAATTGAAGGCGCTCCTAGGCAGGGATGGTGATAAGGGGGGGAAGGTGGAACAAATTCTTGGGGCCTGGGGGTCCAGAAGGAGGCTTGGGGTCCAACTAGATCAGGCACCCCCAAACTCAGCCCTCCAGCTGTTTTGGGACTACAATTCCCATCATCCCTAGGTAACAGGACCAGTGGTCAGGGATGATGGGAACTGTAATCCCAAAACAGCTGAAGGGACGAGTTTGGGGGTGCCTGAACTAGATTATAGGATATGTTTTATGTAATTCCTAATAATATATCTATTTATTTCCTGTTCAGTCCATGCACAGTTCTGAATCACGGCGTGCAAACTTTTGCTGTGAACTGAGTACTTCCAACTCTCTAGGAACATTCACTCCTGCGTTTTGATCCAGCGCAGTCTCATCTTGTTATTCACAGTCGCATTTGCATGCTTTCATAAGCAAACCCTGTGCAAATTCAACAAGGTGTGATGTCCACTACGTTGTGGTACACATGCACATTCAAAATTTAAAGCGTATGGTTAGTTCAGCTGCAATCGTGTGAGCACTTATATTATTGATATCAGTCACTAGGATCTTAATATTCTCAACAGGTAAGAATATTATCACATGAATTCTCAACACACAAAAAAGAGATTTGGATGAGTTTTGGATGACCATGTTTCATGGGTGCTTTATGTGTGATTCCTGCATTGCAGTGGGTTAGACTAGATGACCGCTGGAGGATCCCTTCCCTGCAACTCTTTGATTCTAAGACCGCACATTTACTTGCTATCCCATGTAAAGATTTCTAGTCGGTGGTCAGGAGGGAACAGATATTGCATTGATAAGCAGTGGAGGGCAGGCCCCATTTGGACTGGTGGGGCAGAAGGCAAGACAGCCTATGGTAGGCGGAGCCACAGCCAAGGAGAGGCGGAGCCAACAGATTTCAGCTTCCCAGATACAATGTTTCCTTCCCCACACATCGCACACTCTTCCAGAGGGCTCTCCTCACGCCCACACACCCAGGAAGCCAGCTTTGCTTCTCCATGGTGAAATAAGATTCTGGCAGATTCCGTTACCTCCGGGTTGCCGTGGGATGCAAGCTGAAAACACTCAACCTGAAGCGTCTTTAACCTGAGGTATGACTGTTTTGAACACAAAAAACAGCAATCATTTGTTGCAGACAAAGGACAGCTGGACATATAAAGGGCTCCTTTACCTTCAGGAGCTTAGGGCCTCATCAAACCTAAATCCGGCCCTGGGAACATCCGGGACGTTCCAGTATCAAATCAGAAACCTGCATGGCTTCTCTAAATCAGGGACGTCCCTGGAAACTGGAGACACCTGGAGTGTCTGCTAGATGACCCTGAGGGTCCCTTCCAACTCTACAATTCTTTGCTTCTTTGTCCAGAGTGCTTTTCCCTCGCCATTGATTAACTGCAGCCATAAGCCATAAGCACCTGAAATTGAAGAGAGAGGCTTCGAATGAGCTCCGTCTCTCTCGCACACACTCCTTGGCTTTTGTGCAAGCATCTGCAGCCTGTGAGCATCTTTGCTGTCCCTCGAGGCCGGGTGTCATTGATCATCAGGACATACTTTAGCTGTGTTGTGATGCTTATGGACGGATCGATGCAGCTCACAAGCCCATCGCAGGGCCTAGTAATGAACTCAGAGAGCAGGCGCTGCAGGGAGGGTGTGGATTATAGCTTAGCTAGTGAGGAGAGGCTGAAAGGCGGCGGAGACTGGGGAAAATATGTGGAGGGCAGGAGAGAAAAATATGCAGCAGGGAGGCAGGGCACCCTAAATATTTTGGCACACCACCCCAATCTCCAGGTGGGGTGAGATTCCAGGGGTTCCTGACGCTTGCCCAGGGTTTGGGTTTCCTTCTGGGAATGAGGCACAGAGGAGACTGCAGTGGCTCGATGATATATGGTTTATTTACACCATAGTTGACAAACTAAGGCCCGGGGGCTGGATCTGGCCCAATCGCCTTCTAAATCCGGGAATCAGCGTGTTTTTACATGAGTAGAATGTGTCCTTTTATTTAAAATGCATCTCTGGGTTATTTGTGGAGCCTGCCTGGTGTTTTTACATGAGTAGAATGTGTGCTTTTATTTAAAATGCATCTCTGGGTTATTTGTGGGGCATAGGAATTTGTTCATTTTATTTTATTTTTCAAAATATAGTCCGGCCCCCCACAAGGTCTGAGGGACAGTGGACCGGCCTCCTGCTAAAAAAGTTTGCTGACCCCTGATTTACACGTATATACAACCTGAGATGATGGAGGGGTTCACAGCATGGAGGGGTTTGAGAGCCAGTGTGGTTGAGAGCGATAGACTCGTAATCTGGGGAACCGGGTTTGCGTCTCCGCTCCTCCACCTGCAGCTGCTGGGTGACCTTGGGCCAGTCACACTTCTCTGAAGTCTCTCAGCCCCACTAACCTCACAGAGTGTTTGTTGTGGGGGAGGAAGGGAAAGGAGAATGTTAGCCGCTTTGAGACTCCTTAAAGGGAGTGAAAGGTGGGATATCAAATCCAAACTCTTCTTCTTCTTCATTAACACCCCAAAGCGTCTTGCTTCTCTCACAGCTGCAGCCTTGAATTCAAGCAGAAATCAGGCATGGCTCCCGCTTGCTGGCTTCCCAGCCTGCAGCTTGTTTTTGGCTTGCACACAACTCAACTCTCAGTTTTGGCCTTTGTCTTTCCAACTACATGACAGTTGAGAAAGGGAGGGGACCCTTTTTTATCTCTCTGGCACAGAGCCACTTCCTTTGTTGCCTTAATGACCCCTGCTTAGGCCATTACCTCACCAGGAAGCTAGCCTGGCTATTTCAGGAATTTGAACCCTTGTTTAGATTTTAGCACTTGCTGGAACCAGGAATTAGAAGGGTCTCGGCATATAGCTGACTATGGGAGAAGCAACGCCCTTTTGGGCTGTTGATGCTGCGAACCCGTCCATCGTAGCCTCAGGTTGTATATATGTGTAAATAAACAACCTCTTCTACAGACACTGTAATGTCTGCTGTGCCTCAATCTCAAAAGGAATCACAAACCCTGGAACCACTGGAATCTCACAGAACTCGGAGATTGGGGGGTGGGGCGGGACATGCAACAATTTATTTCTTGCGTGTGTCCTAATGGAAATGTTCTTGCAGACCCTTTGGGCTCTGCCTGTGAGCCATCACTAAATAAAGTCTGACCGCTTGGGAATGGTGTGAGCCTCCATTCTCAAACCCCAAAGGGGAGCTTCCCCCACACCGGCCCCTTTCTCCCCACCCCTAACCCCCCACCCCATTCCATGGGAATGTTTATATTCCTGTCCTGCAGCCCAGTGCCTTGCCCCAATGCCCCAATATTCCTAAAGGGTCCCAGAGCATCCAGTTTGAGAGGAGAGGCAGAGTGGTAGTACAGTGGACTGTACAGTGGCCTGGCGTGCTCTGGTCCATGGGGTCACGAAGAGTCGGACACGACTAAACAACAACAAGTACAGTGGACGCTCGGGTTGCGAACGTGATCCGTGCGGGAAGCACGTTCACAACCCGCAGCGCCGCATCTGTGCACGCGCAGGTTGTGATTTGGCGCTTCTCATAGAATCATAAAATCATAGAGTTGGAAGAGACCACAAGGGCCATCGAGTCCAACCCCCTGCCAAGCAGGAAACACCATCAGAGCACTCCTGACATATGGTTGTCAAGCCTCTGCTTAAAGACCTCCAAAGAAGGAGACTCCACCACACTCCTTGGCAGCAAATTCCACTGTCGAACAGCTCTTACTGTCAGGAAGTTCTTCCTAATGTTTAGGTGGAATCTTCTTTCTTGTAGTTTGGATCCATTGCTCCGTGTCCGCTTCTCTGGAGCAGCAGAAAACAACCTTTCTCCCTCCTCTATGTGACATCCTTTTATGTATTTGAACATGGCTATCATATCACCCCTTAACCTCCTCTTCTCCTTTATCATATCACCCCTTAACCTCCTCTTCTCCGCTTCTGCGCATGTGCATGTGCTGTAAGCCCTTTCCGGTACTTCCGGGTTCAGCACAGTGCGCAACCTGAAATCACGCAACCCGAAGCATCTGTAACCCGAGGTATGACTGTACTACGAAGTTCGCCCTGGCCTGGACTCACATTCTACCATGTCCCCAATACTCAACAACATGTCTACATCTACTTTGGCAAAGCAGAGAAGAAGCTGGACCTGCCCATCATGCTATGAATAACGGCACGAGGCTGAAAATGGAAGAGATGCCTTGTACTAATTTTGCATTTAAAACTGGGTATGTATTTTTGCTTTAATAAATCAGCATATAATCAGTTTAATGTGTCGGTGAGACCATATTTTAAAATATTAAGTCGACCAGCTGTGTGTCATCTAGCCTGTATGCCAGCTGTACGTCATCTACTCCTTCCCTCTAAATTATGGGTCAGTCTCCTTAGAGTGCAGCAAGAGCAATACCAGAAGCATTATTGCTGGTTCACTTTTGTTTTACTTTATGTACTTAAACATTGATTTGGCGGGGTTTGTTTGTTTGTTTTGGTAACACTGATTTATTCTGCATTTGTTGAATTGTTGATTTTTGTCATTTGACTTTATTAACATGTTCTGTGATTTGTACAGTGGTACCTCGGGTTACATACGCTTCAGGTTACAGACTCAGCTAACCCAGAAATAGTACCTCGGGTTAAGAACTTTGCTTCAGGATGAGAACAGAAATTGTGCAGCGGTGGCGCGGCGGCAGTGGGAGGCCTCATTAGCTAAAGTGGTACCTCAGGTTAAGAACAGTTTCAGGTTAAGAACGGACCTCCGGAACGAATTAAGTACGTAACCAGAGGTACCACTGTATGTTTGTATTTTCAATGTTTTGGTGTTTTTGAATGTTTGGTGTGAGCTGCTTTGGGCACAGCATGTTGTGAGAAAGCAACATATAAAGTAAACTAAATCATCAGTCAACGTCATCAGTCCCACTGCAGATACCTGAGAGACGGATCCCTTTGACGCTCTTGGCTCTGGCTGTTATTCCGACAGGGCCGTATCTCCAGCTGCTCAAAAACACTGGAGACACATGCACTGTAGAATACAACCAGGCCTTCCTTGCCAGGGGCTCCGTCAGGTGATGCCCATTTTGGGGCTCTGTTTCTGGGTGAGGCTCCATCCGAGATGCTGCCTATCCCGTCCCCAAAGCCTGCCTAGGGGACCCGGAGGCACCAGCAACAAGAACCCTGAGCATTTGCACCCATCCTAGCCCAACCCGATGCTTTGCAGAACATTTTCGGGGAAGAAGAGGCTCAAATCCATCGGTTGGGTGGCTCCTCAAATGCCTCCTTCCAAGCTGGTGCCCAGAGTCTTGCTCTGCTTTCCTTTGGACCACATCAGGGAGGCCCAGAAGGAGGGTCTTGCCATCTGGGCAGCCCAGGACCCCCAGACACGCTGCTCAGGAGGTCACTTCGGTGTGCAGCAAAAGCAATGCGGGGGGCAGCAGTGAGGAGCTACTGGTCTCTGCAGTCACAGCAGGCATTGGGATTCTCCAGTAGTTTGACTTCACCCCAGGGACAAACTCTGTTGTCTCTCAAGACGGACGGATGCCAACACCAACCCAGCCCAGGGGTAGCATATGGCTGGACTGAGCTACCTTCAGATGGAAGGGATGTGATCCATGAGAGGCAGTCAAGTACAACATTCCTTGTAATGCTAGAGAAGACATGCAAGGGAATGTTTGGTCCAGCCAGTCAAAACTTCCTGTTCCTCCTGGCTGGAGCATTCTTCGTTTTACATGTGCTAGAAGGTGGGCGTGACCTAACCTGTCCAAGTAACAAAAGGACGAGTCACACAGCACACCTGTCTCTTTTTGACTTCCTTCTCCGTTTGACCAGCTTCTAGCTAGGACTGCTCTGCCAGATCTCAGCTAGCAGAAGCACTGGGATTATTCCCCCATATGGAGTAGATCCACGTGTACATATTTGTAACTAAGTCTGCCTTCAGGAATCCAACTGTGAACTGATGTGAGTAAACTTTTATCATCTTTGAATAAGATTGTGGTGTCTTTATTCTTTTTAAGAGGGATTCAAGGGAATTTACCAGGAACGTACAGTTCAATCTGAGACAGAATTAATTGTATAATAGTGAGAGGCTCACACGAGCCTGCAACCAGTTATCTGCTATGTGTGAAAAGGGGAATGTAAAACTCTGCTAAGTAAAGGAACTTCCTAGTGCAAGTTAGGAAGGCTATTAATAAACAATATATCCTCTCCTGCCTCCCTGAACATTCCCACAATAGAGACTTCAGGTCTCTCCGTAAGTTTTCTTTTTCTTTATTTTTTAAAAAATACGCAAGCAGAGGGTAAACAAAGCAAGGACAACCAGCTTGTTGAAACAGCACCTGATTTGCTAACAGAGCAGTGAATCCCCACTTGGCCATCATGGCACTTGCTGGGTGTTGCCAGGGGGGGGGGGGCAAGTTGCTGTCTCTCTCAGCCCCTCAGGGCTTCAGTGAGGAGTGGGATGGAGAGCTGAGTAATGCCACCCTGAGCCCCATGGAGGTAAAGGTGGGGTATAAATGCAATAAATAAGAATTAAATAAAAATGCTGGGCTGGATGGATAACAAGTCTGAGCCGGCATTAAAAGACATCTGAAGGCAGCCCTGTTTAGGGAAGTTTTTAATGTTTAATGCTGTACAGTATTGTGTTTTTAATATTTGGTTAGGAGTCGCACAGAGTGGGCAGGGTATAAATAATACAACATCATCATCATCATTATTATTATTATTATTATTACAAATACTTTGGACAATATGGATAGATTTAAAATATGGATGATGAAATAATATGCAGTTGAAAATGCTGACAATAGGACCCCTGGAGGGAATGGTGGGAAGTCTATAGAGATTCAGAGAAATCTCTAAATGAGTATGTATTTGATGCTGTTGTAATTTCACACTTGTAAAATCAAATAAAAATTATTAACGGGGGGAGAAAGGCAGATTCTGGCGCAACAAAGGTGACCTGATTCTAAGTCCTTTGAATCAAATGCCTACTCCCTCCCTTAACCCTTAGGGGTGCACAGATTGAAATGGAAGCAAGAACTCCTAACATTAGGGGTGAAAGTGAATGTGATCCCTGTACTTCCATTAGGACGGCTGTAGTGAGTCCTGCCACAACACATGCGCACAACAACAACAACAATAATAATAATAATAATAAATTTTATTTATATCCCGCCTTCCCCAGCCGAAGCCGGGCTCAGGGCGGCTAACAACACTAAAATAGTGCAACATTCTAAAAACAAAATCCCCTGTCCTCCTAATGGGGCGAAGACTTCTTCATCTCACTGCACAAACCCATGTTTTTTCAATCCAGTCGGGCAGTCAGGGATGGTTAGGGAGCTTGTTTGAGTATCTGCTCCCCGTTAGGGACCCAGCTAGATGGAAACGAGGAAGGAACACAAGGGAAGGCAGGAGGCTGTCCGTAAATAATGAAGCTCACTGTTCCATTTCTCGGTGCACAACGGAGGCTGCCCAGGATAGAGCAGGCGCTCGCTCTCCTGTTGTTGCAGAAGGATTTATGGCACCAAGGAGGCCTATTATATTTGGGAACATGCAGGCTCTGAAAATAAGGTGGCGTTCCTCGCCGCCCTTGTCTTTTGCCATCGCATTCCCTGTGCCTGGAGGGATAACTTCTGCGCCTGCTTCTACCGCTAAGTTTATCCCAACCTTTCCCCCACAACAATTTATATGTCACTTAACTTCATAGTCTCTAAACAGCGCCCTGTGAGTTTACAAAAGGTAAATCAACTGGGAAACTTGCCTAAAATGCCTGCTTCCATAAATAAGTCACCAAGCAGCAGAGGCTAGACTATGGAAGAAGGAAGCAGTGGTGGACATCAACTTGGATAGACTTTAAAGCAGATTAGACACATTCATGGAGGAAGGGCTATTGATGGCTAGCAGCCACGGTGAAGGTTATGTTCTGTCTCCACATTCAGAGGAAGAAATGCTTCTGAAAACCGCAGGAGGGGGGAGGGCTTCTGTGCTCGGATCCTGCTTGCAGGTTTCCCATAATGGGCATCTGGTCAGCCACTGCGGGAACAGGATGCTGGACTAGATGGGCCCTTGGCCGAATCCAGCAGCCTCTTTCTTACTCTGCTCCTAAGTTCAACAGGGAGGAAGGCCTGTCCGACCTCATCCGGAGAGGGAGACTTCTGCAGAATTAGGCCCATAAAGTTGAACAGGTGAGCAGGTTTACTATGCAGCTGACAAATGCTGCTTCTTTCCCGGCATGAAACCAAATGCACATTTTAGAATTTTGCAAAGCAGGCATTAACCCGATGTGAAATAGAACGCACCTCTGAGCGAGGATACGTAAGGGTCAGAGGTGCAGCTAGATAATTTCAGATCCTGAATTTTGTGGGATGTGATATGTAAGTTGTTGAATAGTGGGAAAGATGGATGAAGGACACAGCTCTGTCAGATTCACAGCTCTTTATTGCAGCAGTTAGAACTGCTCCTGGAGTCAGACTGACTAAAGCCTAGCTGGCTGCTTTCTATAATACTAAGTAACTTGTAACAGTAACAACGCCCAACTAGCTAACCAATCAGTGAGCGACAGTTCTCAATCCTTTATTTGCATACTGGTGGCCCTGAGTGAGAACTGCAGCTAATCTTAATACATAAGGTAAGTAGCAGTCAAGTACAACATTCCTTGTTTTCCTAGAGTGGACATGCAAGGGGATGTTTGGTCCAGCCAGTCGGAACATCCTGTTTCCTACTGGGCTGGGACATACTTCCTTTGGATGTGACTAGAGGTGGGCGTGACTTTACCTGTCCAGGTAACAAAAGCACAAGGCACGCAGCACTCTCTCTCTGTCTCTTTGACTTCCTCCGTTGTTGGAGCAGCTTTTTAGCTAGGAATGCTCTGTTGGCTTTTAGCCAACAGAGGACACTGGGATTATCTCCATATGGGATAGATTCCACAACGTATATACTTTGTAACTAAGTCTGCCTTCAGGGATCCAACTGTGAACTGACGTTGTAAGGAAACTTCTTTTATTGACCTTAAATAAGATTGTCATGTCTTTATTCTTAAAAGAGGGATAAAAAGGGAATTTACCAGGCACATAAAATTCAATACTGAATTGTATGATAGTGAGAGGCTTAATAAAACCTGCAGCCAGCTACCCACTGTGTGTTTCAAAGGGGAATGTAAAACTCTGCTAAGTAAAGGAACTTGCTAGTGCAAGTTAGGAAGGCTATTAATAAACAATATATCATCTCCTGCCTCCCTGAACATTCCCGCAAATTTAGTGATCTTACAGGGGTAGGGGGATCCCTTTAGATGCCCATGGGCATTCATTCAGCTGTGAAGCACTCAGAAGCATCCTGCCCGCTGCTCACCATCTTCCTGTGCCATGATTTGCAAGAGCCACTATATTCCTAGAATTATAGAATTGTAGAGTTGGAAGTGAGCTCAGGGGTCATCTAGTCCAACCCCATGCAGTGAAGGAATCTCTGCTAAAGAATCCCTGATAGGTTATCCCTCATACAATAGAGCAACAAACAAACAGTTTCCCAGCCCTGGTTGTTTTTTTAAAAAAATCATTCCCCAGAGTTCAGCATCCTTTCCTGGCTCCTCTCAGCCAAGGCTACAGACCCTTCCGTCTAGGTAGCAGGGTTGCCACCTTTGTTCTGGCAAAATACAGGACATGGAGGGGCGGTTAAGAGGGGAGATTCCCCCCCCCATCTAGTGCTGAAGAAGCTTCAAAGCAACCCCTTACAACTACTGCAGCCTAACAGGATGGCGCCTCTGGAATTTGTCACACACATGCACATGAATGTGTAAATCTGTCTGTGCTTGGCTACTCAGAGCTTAAATACATGAACTTTCACAAACCCCTTCAGAATCAGAAGAATCTTTATTTGCATCAGGCACTAGCCATAGCAATAAAATAAAATGTACTGAAAATGGAGGTAAAAACTTAACTACCGTATATACTCGGGTATAAGCCAACCCGAATACAGTGGTACCTCAGGTTACATACACTTCAGGTTACAGACTCCGCTAACCCAGAAATAGTACCTCGGGTTAAGAACTTTGCTTCAGGATGAGAAGAGAAATTGTGCTCCGGCGGCGCGGGGGCAGTGGGAGGCCCCATTAGCTAAAGTGGTGCTTCAGGTTAAGAACAGCTTCAGGTTAAGAACGGACCTCTGGAACGAATTAAGTACTTAACCCAAGGTACCACTTTATAAGCCAAGGCACCTAATTTTAGCACAAAAAAACTGGGAAAACTTATTGACTCGGGTATAAGCCGGTTCACCACACCACAAACCTGGTGGTGGCGGCAGCGGTGGAGGAAGAACAAGCAGCCAGAAAGGGCTCCTTTCAGGCCGCTCGTCCCTCCGCCGCCCTCCTCACTCAAGTATAAGCCAAGGGGGGCTTTTTCAGCATTAAAAACGTGCTGAAAAAGTCAGCTTACACTCGAGTATATACAGTATAGAAAATACATTTTGGGGTTTACATCAATAATCAAAGAATAGATCTAATTCTAAGTGCCCCCACTAAAATCCCTGCAGTTTTTGCTGTCACCTGATCATCTTGATCTGCTAAAAGAAAGGACAGTAGTAATGGCTGAGTGACCTGGCATGTACAATAATAGAGGGGTAATAACCTCACTCCTCAAATCTTTATAATGGGTGCAAGCCAGAAGCATATGAGCCACTGACTCACTACTGCCATCTTCACAGGGACATAACCGTTTTTCCAGTGGAATTTTTTGAAACCCCTTCAAACACATGCATTTGGAAAGGATCCCTAACTTGGCAGAGAGAGAGAGAGGGAGGGAGGGAGGGAGAGAGAGAGAGAGGACAGACTTGAAATACAGGACAAAACCGTATCAATACAGGACGTAGCATTTTGCATCAAAATACAGGATACAGGACAGGTGACAACCTTACATGGTGGGGATGGAGAGGGTCTTGATTCCCTTAAGCCCTTCTTGCTTCCCCTCCACCCTTTTGTCAGGCGGCAGCGGCTCCCTAAATCACTCCCCCCTTGCAGGGCCGACCATAAATTTGGAGGATTAAAAGGATTCCAGGCTTTCCACCACAGCTCTTTCTTCTCCATCGAACTCATCAGCCAGGGGAAAGGTCATGGCTGGCGGCTCAGAACAACCCGAACCTGCTGGATGCCTTCAAAGCTGACAGATGCTTTGAAGAAATCATCAAGCCCCAAGGTTTGTTCACAACAACAACACCACCACAACACACAGCCCTCGGCTGCCCGCGCTCACAGCGGAGAGGAATTGCTGGTGACAGCCTGGGAGAGGACAGCAGGCATGCAAAGCCTGTAACCCTGCCCTCCCCCCTCCCGACAGCTGGGGAGCTCCGTAGGGAGGAGGAAGTGGGTAGTGTGGCCTAGTGAGCTAGTCGCAAAAATGGGGCTATGTCTTCAAGGACACGAGAGAGAACCCCTGGCTCAGATCAAGCTCTGTTTAACCGGGCTTAAGCAGGACCGGTGCGGAACAGGACAGTCTGGCTGGAGCTTTTCATGGCTGTATTGAGCATGGGCAGATTGCCAGGGTACGCGCAAAGATGCTGAAGGCAAAAGTGGCCACCTGTCAGGATGCCCAGCCCCCAACATCACCTGTCTCTCTTTGAGCCCTGGTCATCCCTGGCTGCCGAAGGCAAAGGATATAAGAACAGCAGGAGAGCACGTTCTGGATCTGACCAGCAGCACATCTACACCCCTGTGCAAATTAATTGAAACAAAGCCTGTTTTCTATCTTACTCGTAATCCTGTACTCAAAACAAACACGAAAAGTCAGTTGGTCATTATGGTGGCGGAAGCCTGCAGCCAATAGAAGGAATGATGCGCTCGCCACAATATATTGAGGTTCTACGAAAGAGAGTTATTCCAGAGCTGGAAAAGAGGTATCCTGACAGTACTGGGATATTGCAGCAGGACCTAGACCCCTGTCACACGTCAAAAGTTGTGAAGAAGTTCATGTCAGAGCAGCAAACACAGGTACTTGATTGGCCAGGAATTCCCCGGATGTAAATCCCATTGAGAATTTGTGGGCTGTATGCAAAAGTCGCCTCCGTTCTGTAGACTGTATGACTGGAGAAGCTCATTCAGGCGCTGATTCAGGTGTGGTACAGGGATCCGAAAAACAACAGTGACTGCTCGAAACTATTAAACTCCATGCCAAACCGTGTTCAAATGCTGCTTAAAAATAGTGGAGGTTATATCCATTACTAATGTATGTATATGTGAGTTTTGTACATGTATATGTGAGATTTCTACAATAAACTACATTGTTTGTTTCAATTAATTTGCACAAGGGTGCAGCTCAATGTCACGGACGCAGAGGAATGGTGGGAGGAAGCAGCTGGGGGACCCCCAAGGGAAGAAGGCTCATAGCCTGGGGAGTGGTGGTGAGACGAGGATGGGTGGTCAGAGGGAGAAGAGAGAGAAGCCTGGGAAGAGGAGGTGTCAGAAGCTGAAGAGGTAACAGGGCTTAGTGAGCGGGTGGAGTCTGTGGCAGAGAGCAGTCCAGGATCAGAGGCAGAAGCTGAAGCAAGAGAGTGGGATGAGGGAGGCCAAGAGGCAGAGATGAGTCAGGCCGGTGAAGAATCATGGATGTCTCCCCCTCCTGCTGTGACAAGCTCCATGCCTCCCTGGTCTCCCAGAACAAGGCGAGGCATGAAAAGGGCAGAGGAGAGGTTGGCTTCACACAGGCACAGTCTCCGAATGCTTGGGAAAAGCCGTGGGGAGGAAGGGACTTAGATGGCTGGGAGGAGATGGGGACTTTCAGTCTTGGCAATTTATTTTCATGGAGGAAGTCCACCAGGAATGAGCTGCTGTGCTCATTAGGACTGACACTCAACCAAGGCTGTGAAAAAAATTGGTAATAAAGATTTAATTCCAACTTTCATGGTGTGATTTACTGTTGGCTCGCTCCCAACACCCAGCATCCTGTTCTTTTAGTGGCCAAACAGATGCCCATCATGGGAAACCCAAAAGCAAGACTTGGTTTCCAGTAACTGGTATAGAGAAGCATTGCTTCCATTGACTGGAGGGCAGAGCGGAGCCATCAGAAAGGGGTGTGTGTGTGTCAGAGAATGTGTGCACGCATGCTGGTCCACGATAGTGGCTGAGAGAGGTACGGAGACCGAATGTGTGCCATGAACATGTGAACCTCTAGGGGTGTAAGGAGGCCCCATCCTGTCCTGGGTTCAGCACCACCAGCGCTGCTTCCATTCAGCTCCACTTCAGCTTCCACTAAGACCTGCGTCATTCATCTCACTAAATGAGCATCATGGAATACGAATTTCCATGGGAAAGGAAACTTCAAAAACAATGCAGAAAACAGTGTGTAATTTTGCAGACTGATAAAAGAAAGGCAACAAATCCCTCTCCTGTTCGCCTGCGTGAGTTTCATTCATGACCTCGGACACAGATGCGAACTGCAGCCATCAGTTGGCCACTGTGGGAAGTTTGGCTAGATGGGCGACTGGCCTTATCATAGGAAATCATAAAATTATAGAGTTAGAAGGGACCCTGAGAATCATTTTGTCCACCCCACCCCCCTGCAACGCAGGAATGTGCAGATCAAACCTGCAACCTTGGCGTTATCAGCCGCCCATTCTAACCCAAACTGACCAGCTATTATGTTCTCTCTTTGCTACCTTCCGCCCTCCCCACATGAGAGAGAGAAAGGAAAAAAACTCCCGGAACATCACTAGCTGCAAAGCTAAGATTTCAAGGAGCTGCAAACACTTGCTTTGAGCCAAACCTGCAGAGTCCGCGGCAATCTGCCAGAAATCCAGAGTTGCCCTGGATCACTTGGGGACACTGTCGGGGGTCAGCAGCTCCCCAAACACACCAGCGCGCCAGCCCTGCTGGTCTGGGTCCATCCATTCTCAAGTGCCTAGCCAGGGGCTCGCGTACACCGATAAAGGTGCGCCCATATGTCTCATGCGCACTCCTTGAGATTGTTATTGATGGAGCCATTTAGGAGATTAGAGAAGGGAGAGGAGGGGAATCACGTCCTCCGAGTGGGTGGCGAGGCCTTGGCAGCAGCAGCGGGTGGGGAGGGCGCTCTGGCAGTGATGCCTGCCCCATCGACAGCACAGTGACAGCAATACTAACAATGACAGTCTCCCGGCTAGCCTGGGTGGGGCAGCGAATGAAAGGCAGCGCTCTTCCTTTCATAACCTCCTATCTGATCTCCTCTCCGAAGGGTGGCGTGGATGGCGGCGGGTGATGCTGGGCGCCAAATAAGAGGACACAATAGCAGCCTTATCGCGGACAAGATAGGGCCCTGCTTTCATTAGGAGGGACACAATGCGGGAACATGCATCCACTTGGGGAGGGGAGGGCAACCACCCACCCGTTTCAATAGAGGACGTGCTGCGTTTTCAGAGCATCCATGTCGGGTTAAGGGGAGCAGATGGCGAAGCAGAGAGGAGACAGGAATCATCAGTTAAGAAGGAAAGCGCCTAAGAAGGGCCTGCCAGATCAGGCCAGTGGCCCATCGAAACCAGCACCCTGTTCTCACTGGGGCCAACCAAATGCCTGAGAGAACCCTGCAAGCAGGATTCGAACACAGGAGCCATCTCCAGCCCCCGTGGGATTCAGCATTGCTGCCTCCAACCATGGAGAAGAGCGCAGCCAGCTTGGCTACTCACCATCAATAGGCTTCTCCTCCACTGTGCTGGGCCCGGGGGTAACCCAAGCAACGCGGTCCAGGTCCGGTCCCGAATCCAAGGGTTCCGCAAGGAGTCAGTCTGACAGGGCCAAGGCAGGACACGAGGCAGGAAACCAGGCTAGGTCAGGCACAGGATCACAGGCAGGTTCTGGCAAACAGCAACGTTGCTCCCGCAACCTGGGGTGGAGTCCAGCAGCCTTTTATCTTTGTCTGGGTAACGGCCAGTCCTGATCCCCCCGTGACTCACCTCCCTGTTTCGCCCAAAGGCAAGCCCTCCTCCTGCGAGTACTCAGATCTCTCCTTCTCTCAGACCTCAGTCTCTGCAGCTCGGGAGACGTCGGTGGGTTACTAGACCCAGAGGCCGCCTCAGCCTCTCCTGACCCAACCGGTAGTGGAGCAGCTGTAAGTGATGGTCCAGCTGGCTCAGGCCCCTGACTCGGCCCAGCTGGAGCTTGTTGTGAGGGAACCTGTGCAGACTGGGGCTCTTCAGAATCAGGCCCCAGACTCGGTTCAGATGCCGCCTGAGGCAAAGGGTCCGGTGCAGACTGAGACTCCCCTGGCTCCGAGTCCAAGCCCGAGTCCCAGGCCATCACATCCTCCAGGAATTTGTCTATTCCTCTTTTAAAGTAATCTAAGTTGGTGACCTTGACTGCCTCCTGTGGGAGGGAGTTCCACAGTTTCTCTGCACTGTGTGAAGAAGGACTTTCTTTCGCCTGTCCTTCCAGCATTCAACTTCATGGGATGTCCGCAATTTCTAGTGATAGGACAAAGGGACAGCCCTCTCCTTCATGAATTTGTCAATTCCTCTTTTAAAACAATCCAGACTGCTCAAACTGCTGGTCCTTGCCTTCGGAGACATCGAAGCCTTTCAATCTGAATGCCTTCACATGGGGCTGCCAATACATCAATATATTCTTTGGAGGTGCTCCTGCTGTCTCAGGGGAGGTGGTTGAATGAGACCTGCGGCCTTCTGAGGAACAGGCCAAAACTGCACAGGTTGGACTAGATGACCCTCAGGGTCCCAACTCTACAATTCTATGAAAAAACAACATTTTAATTTTCCCAGGCCTTTTATCACTAACCATTGATAACACAGTTAGGGTGGGTCA